TGAATAAACGGAAAAGAAATTGCTATAAAGTATAAACAATTAGAAAACAACGTTTAAAACCCATAAAGAGGATTTTAAAAATAAATTTTTGAATTAATAGACAACTTTTCTGTAACAATTAGGTGTACACTAATGCGTAAGGTTAAGTACAAACATAATTTAAATACATTCCCCGTAGTTACTTAATTTCTTAACGCCAACGCAGCAACTAATTAAAATTTCGTAAATCATTGAAATAATGACACAAAGGAAGACGTTTTTGAAATGCCATTATTTAAAATATTTACACACTTTCAATAAATTACTAAACTTAATACTGAAAACGATTTGTAGACTATGTAATGGGCTTTCAATTTGCAAATGACATTGGAATTTATTACTACCGTGTGGTACGGATAGGGATATGTATAATGCATATATTATTCGAATAAACAATAAATTGAGGCCGCATGTACGATTAGTCGCCTTGCTAAATTATGAAAGATATTATCATTGTCATTTTTATTTATTCAAAACTTTCTACAATATTAACTGAAGATAAAAGTATTGTTCTGGAATGCGTCACTGAACTGTGTTGTTAACGATACCGTCCACTGTTCATCGAAAAGAAATTCATTAAGTACATGCTACACATGTTATATATCTTGGTCTACGAAATAATTTTTTTATGTTCCTCAAAAACAGTAGTACTTATGGCAATTTAATTAGAGAAACTGATCAATTCGTTTATAATAAGTTTAAATTATTTCCAGTAATATTTACACTTAAAAATTAACGTTACTTCCAACAACTCAAAGATTAAAATTGTCACTTGAATTTTTCATGTCAAACCTTATTCTTATATCTTTTGGTCTACGACTCGATATGTGCTTAAGATTTTTTTGTACTACCTAAATGCAAGGTAAAGCTGTAGACGTGCGTAAATATGTAGATTTTAATTAGCAATAGTTGGTAACTTTAACAAACCATGTTAAACACCCGATGGTAGAAGTACAATCGCAAATGTATGTCTGTATATGTACCTACTGATAAAACGTCGCCGTTTATTGCAAGAATTCTATTATGATCGTCTTATCAATTCCAAGAACAATAATTGTACATTTCACATCAAGATTAATAAGCTACAACCGACGAAAGTTCTTATAATAATAAAATTACTGGACCTCAAAACAGCAAGGAGTTGTTTCTTTAATATCTCAATATTATGTTAAAAACAATGGTCTGGGACTTAATAAAACAGAGTGAAAACTAGCTTTCCCAAAAATGGGACCTTGTTAAATCAAATTTTATCTTCAACAAACCAACCCTGTAGAGCTACAAATTTTTGAATGCTCATTGACGTACAAGAATTGTTATTATGTTGTGGGCCTACAATTTTAGGAATTTATTTTTCTGGTTTTATATAGCAGAAAAACAGAAATGAATTAAGTAGATATGTACTCTTCTACCCTTATAAATAACAAAATATTAATCTCGTTTCCAACTTTTAAAATAGAACATGTCTAATCTTATCGAAAACAAAGTTATTAACTGGGAATTATAGTCTGCAAACAAATAAATTAATAATAATGTTCCTATTGAATTAAATGTCAGGAAAAAATCTGTAATCTTTTTCTTAGTCAATTTTCAAAGGCATTTATACACTAGTAGCGAACTGAGAACCGAACATAGGGTTATTTTATTACATGTAGGGGCTGATATATGGATGCTGCTGGACCGTAGAACTAGCAAAAAAAATTGATATTTGTGTTTTTTACAACATATTACTAAAAATTAATACAAATGTACACACAAATCTCCTTTTACTTGCTGTCCAGCGCTGAAAAGTAGACACAATGAATTCTGTGGATCTAGGGCACGTCGCTGCACTCTTCAATATAATCGAAAATGACCCCACACAAAGCATTTTTGTGAACTACTTGGGGAAATCGTAATCCCTTTTATAACCCTATTTGCTAGCACAATGTGACGAACTTCGACGGTTCGTCGACAGTGAGCTGCAATCAATTCAGCTATTAGCGGGCAAAACACCCGCTCTATTTCATCAAGAGCTACCACTGATTACATGTCGTGAAAATTCGTGAAATAAAATTAAATCAGTTAAACGTAATTTAAAGCTTTCAAGTGTATTTAGGTAATATGCTTTTTCATTCGTGGAACATAAAATAAAAGAAAGTCGTCATAGAAACGTGTAATTTCTATGTTAAGTGAGCATTTTGCCTTACCTGTATAATCCATTTAGATACAAATGCATTTATTGTATTGGTGGGATATCTTAAAATACTCACGATGAATGTATAAATATAACTTGAACATAGATCCGGTCATTATGAGTTAATTTTGGCGTTATTAGAGAAGGATTCGCGAAATTCAAGTATTTCACTATTCCACTGAATATAATTAGGAAGAGAGACGAAAGGAAGAAACCTGACAAGACAATGCTTTGATTGGTTAGGATCATAAGGTCATAGTAAGAAAATACAACACAAACGAAGTGGGTATTGTCGTTAAAGAGTTCTTTTGTGAACCACAGCAAAATCAAAGCTATGGCTTATAGGTTTGGTTGTTCTACGTAAGTTTTTCAAACCTCGAAAACCACATCCTATTTTTTTTCTAGGAATTTGTTAACCTGTTCAAGTCATCAACATTCTCCCTACAGCTAGGGCCGTAATTTTGCAGACATGGTAACAAGAAAGGGCTTATGAAAAGGGAATGCTGATAATTTAGATGTAATTACAAAATTGGAATAAGTATATAAAAACTACGCTATTATTATAACTATACCTATGACTTAGGTATTCTACTACGAAAGAGTCGCCAAAAATTCTTGTATATATCTTAATTCAGTATACATATGTATAGTACAGTGTCTTGACAAAAATTTGAAGTTCCGGTTTTGAGAACTCCAGCAGTAGGTACCACCTATTGTCGCATTTTTTACCAACTTTCAAGCACAGTTGAACAACAATCAGGAATTAGGAACTGACTAAGTCAAACTGATTGGATTACGTTGTATATTTCCATAATAGATATGACAATCACTTTTGCTAAAATGTAAAGAACTACCCACTTTGAGTCTAATTACCCACACGTACCTACAAGTCGCAAAATGGAAATAAACCGGTAGATTATTTTACCATCGACTGTACATTCTAGAGCCTTCCTTGCAGCCAGTTGAGACCATTAATAACAACGTAAAAACAATCGCGCTGGTCTATGTCCCAATCTAAATTTAACCGGCCGGCGCATACACCCATACAAACACGCAGATACACATATTTGGGAACTCGGCTCGCTCTCCTTGAAGTCAATCTTTCCGTTTCATTTTATAAATGGCAGGAAGTGGTTTTCCGGTGTTCGGTACGCTGCGGACTTCCTCAAAGGAAACGGTATCAAGCCAGGACATCTTTCTGCACAGCAACAAGCACCACCATAAAATAAAGCAACATACCCACCACTGGCCGTACCATCATCGTTAAGTCTCTTTCCTGTTTGTCGTTATATGGGAAAGACGCGTAGGTTTCCAACTTGACAAAACAATAACCCGGAAATGGTAATTTCTGCTGTGGAACTGACAATGTTAATCGAGAGTGCCATGCACGCATTCTACACATAGGTATTTGAAACTTGCTCGAGTTACACTTTTTTTAATGAGTACGTGAAAAAATTACGTTGGCAGTTTAAAAGCACCTATACCTAGATGCCTACCTATCCGCAATTACAGCAAAATGTAGGTTAACAATAGGAATCCCTTCTTTAGTACGACCATCTAATTCTAATACCTATATTTATGGGTAGTAATTTTACTATACGGTCCCACAAAAATAATGATTATTTAAATTTATTATCCCCGTGTAGTAGTTTATTACTCCTTTCATTTAAGCTGTTTAAAAGTAAGGAACATATCTCCAATATGCAATAACCGTCCATCTCCAATAGAATAAATTACTGCTTTATAATATTATTTAGGTACTTCTAAAGTCAATATTTTTAACCATTAACAGCAAAGAAAAAACATATTCAAAAAATGCGCAGTTTTTGTCAGAATTTTGTATTATCACAATCATAAAAAAAATTAGTCCTTTAGATAAAATACCTCTTCGCGTTTAAAGAGAAAGACGTCTTATCAGATAAGGCGGTTATGAGATGAGACTAATAAAAGAATCACTTGTCATTTGTTATTACAAAGGTGCCTTTGAAAATTGAGTTTCAAATCACGTAAAATCAAAGATGATGTCATTGCTAACAAAAGTGTGAGAAAACGAAAGACGAACGTGTCTAAGCTTATGAAACAATGACCCGGAAATAAGCCATGTTTTCATATTATGTACATATAAAATCTGATCGACGAGGCCTGCCAGCATACGACGAAGGCATCACATATCAGGAATAACTTTTATTATTCTACGCTTTTAGCGTTTTTTCCCCATATATAATCAATTTACTACAATTAACTATAAAACTATATCAAAATATTTAATCATGTAACTTCTTTAGTGAACATGTATAAAACAATGAAGTACCTATCTACACAAAAACCGGCTTAATAAAGCGGTTAAACGGAAGCGGCATAGGTACACCATTTCATTTCACGCATTTTACAGTAATTCTCAGAATTGCAATTATCAGCGTCCTTGTAATAACTTAAAAGGAATAATTTATCACGTACCTATTCGACCATTTCCAGATAAGTAATTAACTCAGAATGTTTACGTTTTGTAATGTTCACATGTTTGCCTATACGGGAAGTCTATTCAACATATGTGAGACGAAAAAAAAAAAAGAAATTATAATAAACCTACATATAAACTTTTCAAACAATAAGATATATATATATATATATCTACAAAATTGAAATTGCCACAAATCGAATTTCTTTTATTTTAATAAACATAAAAGGGTGTCCAGTCAGTCACTACTAGAAACAAAAATGCAACGCATTTAAACATGCGTGTAGTAAGTGTGTTATAACACGCAAGTAAAATGTCGTAATGACTTACGAGTAATCTTGACGTGTTGATTGGTCCTTATGTAAAGCGAGCACTGTGTGGTTCACGGTATATCCAACATACAGAAATCCTTGTGTAAATTGCGATCGTAAAACCACTGTATCACATATTACAAGTCTCGCTCGTGTGAATCACAAATAATGGTTAATTAATACGTTAACCGCAAAAAAGCACTAGATACGAACGAAGTTCTATCAAATGACAATTCGGGTAACTGCGACAGTGAACAAATAAACGACAGTTTGTTGAAACTACTAAAATACTAAGCAGCTTCCAACAAGCAGTAACTGCGACCAATCAGCTCGACTGCCACCTTACCACTAACAACTTAACGCGGATCTGACTGTGACGCAGCCCGAGTTCCGAATCGCGGTAGGCAGATGCAGGCAGCTATGCGGGAGTAGAGTAGTGGAGGTGCACGCGTTTCCGACGTTGCCACACCGACACCGGATCTACACTTGTACGACACGGTCGGGCGGGGTGGGGGAATGTGTGATCGCAGCTTCCTTCTGGGCAAAAGGTAAACTCCACATATATTCCATATTGTAGATTAGCTTTATAAAAACGGAATTTTTTCTTTAAGATTCAACCTCTAGGTTTAATGATTTTGAAGTAAGTAATTCGTATAAGTGTAGATTCAAAGTTAATAGAAAGATAAAGTTGGAGTACCAGCTATCTAAATCAGTGGCGTTACTACGTTCGAAAAAGTTGGCGAAAATCATTCCTTCACCTACTTGGAAAAAAGTCGAATCAGTCACTCCCCTCCAAGTTCACTTGACTGTTTTTTTGTGGTCATGTCCCTCCTTTTGTGCATATACGAAGGAAATTGGTTGTTTTAGCTATGGACTGGGTTTGGTTGCTTTACTTACATTCCAACCCCCAAAGCTAGCGGAAGAAATGGTATTCGCGCTCAACATAAATATGTATACGTATGGAATTGTCAAAAGCAGACACCAAGCTGTGACAATTTGAAAGAAATTATATTACCTGAGGAGTAATTTATTATGTTAATTTGGAATTTCCATAAAGGAATTCATCTTTTTTCCAAATCATTTTCGAAGCACTCCTTGAAAGACGAATAATGTTGGCCTGAAATTATCTCTGAAACCATCATATTTTGAGCAAAACTCTTCATCCACATTGAACATTCCTTTGGCAGATGAATTTCTTAAAAAAACAGGAGAAAGGATTCTAAAATTTTTCAAACACGTTCTACGTTCATGTAACTGCACAGCCATAATCTTAAGAGTTTGATTAAACCATAGAATCTGATCGTAAAATAATTTTTAACACATCCAGTTTGATGATATTTCCTCAACTCTTCAAAATGTCTTTAGGGGCGCGCGACACTTTCTGTTTCGAGAAAAATATGCTGAACAATCATAATTCATGCCAAATCAACATCACTGCTTTTCAAACTTTGGAAGGTTTCTCCGACTAGGGGGGAGGATATGTTCCAATGAACACATGGAATACCAATGGTTACGCTACCGATTTAAATTAACCCCCGATCCACTGCACAAGGTCGTTGAACTTCTAAGAAAACGCAATATTTATACATTTAAAACCAAAATTATCTACCCAAAATATTGACAGTAAGAGTGAATAAATAATTGACTCTGATTGTGAAATAATATTAATCACTTTCAATGTTATGATGTTTACTCAACTCATCAAATTGTCAAAACAATTATAATTCATTGTCAACTCAACAACACTGGTTTTCAAACTTCCGAAACCCCCAATCAATCCTCCGGATTGATCCACTAGTAACACATATACTTTACCTCCCTACTTTATTTTGCTTTATTTGTTCATTTTAAGGTATCTTTCGCGCTTATAATTTTGAGGTTAGCTCCCCTTTCTACGTAATTGTTGGGTTGTTCCACTTAATCTTGTAAAATTATGTTTCCTTTTCTTTTATCTTCTTAAAATCGTAAACTGTTCACCTATATTCTTCTTGGACTTGGGAACCTTATTTATTATTAAGGGGCATATTAAAATTTTAACGCAATTATACGGGATGACTCAATAAGGTGTGGCGAAAAGCTTCTATGCTCTCCATTTTCAAGAAATTTTGATTTTTATTTTTTTTTATAAAATCATCATTCATTAACACAACAATGTCGTTTTCCAACATCGTTTCAATTAAATTGAACCACCGAAAAAAATTTGTGCGTTGCAGCAGGACCAGGTTTCAAAGAACCAGTGGTTCTGAAATTGTTGGCCCATTCTACGGCTCCATCATGCCAAAAATTAAAGCGATGTCAAAGTTCACGCTGCGTAGCGATCACTGAACCATCTGTATCGTGATAGGTGTCATATACACATACACACGTTGTTCCACCATACGAAGCTCCATTGTAGCCGAAATGGGGGAGAATGAGGAGTGTATATCTGCCATTCCGAAAACATTAGCCCTTCCGAGAAGGGAAGCACGACCATTCTAAAAACGTCAAACTTCCTTGAGTCACCCTGTATTACTAATTAAAAAAAAGCCAATATCTCTACAACATAAATTTACCTATATCATAGACCATCAATCACAACGAGAACAATCGATTTTACGTTACCGTTTTCAGATTAATTAATGTTATTCATTTTAAACGTCTGCTATCAATAGCTACTTTAGAAAAACAACCATTGTCATGGTTTTAGGTTAAGTCCATTTCTTAGCATTCGGGAGGACGCCGGTTCGATTCTGGGTCCGTCTCCTTAGATCACTTAAGCAAACGATAGGGCAGTAATATTCCACAGATAATCTTTCATTCTCTTCTGTCTTCATTTCGTCCGTCTCACCTTTCTCATCCGAACCACCACCCACCCATTTCCACGATTCCTGAAAGGAGGTTGAAGAGGGCCTTCCGCTCTACCTTACGGCGTAGTCCAGAGAGACTGCCCGCCTACCAGCATTAGTGGCTGGTGGGAATGAAACACCCAAGTTTTTTTTTTCATGGTTTTACGTGTACGACTTACCTCCTTCATTATACTTATTACTGATTAGAAGGAAACAAATGTCTCACAATTCTCGAAACTAGGAGTACCTAGCCGCTTGACGGTTATAACTGTCTATGATAATAACAAACCTAAAATAGTAATAGGAGAACAGAGGTCACTATGGAAATCAATAAAAAATAGGCAAAACAGACCAGTAGGACACCTTCCCAAGCATGAAGGACTAGTCAGAAATATATTAGAAATAGAAACAGGAATTATGAGGAGTAGAAGTTGATCTAGATTAGATTACTGTTCACAAATAGTTAAGGATGTGGGATGTTCTATAGTGTTAGGCAAATGCGAAGATTAGCTCAGAGTAGGAAAGAGTGGAGTGCGTGTCCAACCAGTCTTAGAACTGACGATCTTTTGATGATAACTTTTCTAAAGTCTAAAGTAAACTTACCAAGAGATAAAATTCGTTTGTTTATTTGTATCAAAGATGAACTGTTGAACCTATTCTAAAAATTCTTAAACTGATAGAAAGTTGCACTAGCCTTAAGTAATGCATACTGTATCAGCAGTATTTTATTTTGATAAGAGTAAGTTTTCTGTTCGAAATCTCTTTGTAAATTAAATCGGAAGAAAAGAAATAGCTTGGCGCTGGCCAAAAAGTTAGATAATATGTAAGCATGCAGATTACAGAGAGGCCTGGATAGTGTGTCTGTCTGACTGAATGACTAATATTTACATTTAAGGATCTATCACTACCCCACGCCTTCTGGCTGAGCTGGCTCATACTCATATCTATAATGAATACAATGCAAACGGGAATCTGTGCATTTTAAGAAAACTTTAATTTTTGGGTGTTTAATTCCCACCGGTTATTAATGCTGGTGGGCGAGAAATCCTTCCGGGCTACGCCAAAAGGCCCCCTTTAGCCTCCTTTTAGGGGAAAGGGTAGGTAGTGGTTAAGGTAAGAATAACGAAAGTGAAAGAATATCTGCGGAATATTACTGCCCCAGTATTTGCCTAAATAATCCAAGAAAATAACAGAAAATCTTGGACCAAGGCAAACGGACTCGCAATTGAATGCTAAGCAATGGTCTAAACCTTTAGGCCATGCCACTTGGCGTACTAACAAAATCTATTTATTGAAGGAAATTTTAAAAGGAAATAAAAATTGATTTTTAGCGTTAAATGTGCGAAACATTCAGAATATTTTAATTGACTCCGTCAATTATTACGGTTTAGATGCCTTTTCTCTATCTATGTTTTTTAATCTACGGAAGTCGGCATGTTAATGAGGAGTGGAATTAACTGCTGACTTCCATCTTCAAAATCTGTTTTATGTTAAGTCTGGTCGGGCGGGGAAACGAGAGGACAAGTGCACTCGTAGCAAGCTTAGGGGTGAGCAGGTGGTACAAGTCGGGAGAGGAGATGAACAATGCGGGTCGCACGAAAAACGAACTCATCGTTTGTTTGCGGAGTACATCCATACATCCGCACACACACACACACACACACACAATACATGTGCACAAACTAAATGCTAGCGACAGCAACACAAATCAGAAGAACGGCAGCGGTAGATGTAGAAGTGGGACATCAGGAAATATTCGTCTAACGTAATAGGTCGACTATTACAAAACTGTTTCGTAATAATGTATAACCTGGTCGGTCTTATGAGTTGCTGTACTTATGCAGACGACTGGTTATGCGCTTTTCTGCCATCATTCGGTAGAGATACGTTAGTCAAATGGCTGAAGAGTACCTTATAATGGAGGAAATAATTGAAACACGGGTCATTTTACCGGAAATTTCGTGAGGAACACGAATATGTGAATGAAAATTGTTTGCCTGGCATAGGGGAGGAGAAAATCCGCAAAAACAATTGCAAATTCGATTATCTCGCGAAATATGAAACATATGGAAAAAAGTTTCAATAAAAGTTTTTCACAATGCCATTTTGCAAAAAAAATATTGATCCTTTTTTCATATCACATATAACAAAAATTCTGCGTGCCCAATGGCAAACAGGCCTCAAAATTCCCGGAAATTTTTAGAAAATTCAAAATAATTATTAAAAATTTAAAATTGATAATTTAATCGATTCGTAACTTATCTTAATCGGTTAAATTATCTTTTCAAAGAAAAATTTTTTTTTATGTATTCATTGTTTTTTAAAAATTAAATGTTTAAACCACTATAACTCCGTTAAAAATTGTCCAAATTTGTTACTTTTTGCATCAAAATTTACAGCGCATACATCTATTAACGGTAATGAGATACATTTAATTGTTTAAAAAAACAATGTAATAATAGAAAAAAAAGATGCAAGAAAACAAATAAATATACTGAAGGAGACGGCCGAAAAGGCCGGACTGCAAATGTATGAAAAGACAGAAATCATGACCAATAGAAAAGATGCACCAAGGCGAATCATAACGAAATATGGAAAAATTAGGGTAGTTACCAAGTTCAAATACGTAGGAGAAATAATTCAACCAAATGCCCTGGACAAAGAAGTAGTCCTGGCAAGAGCAAGAAAAATGGAACTGGCATTTCAGTTGACAAAAAATCTAT